CGCCTCGACCCTTCAGAGTTACCTTGCCACGGTATTCTAGTTTGTATCCTTTGAGCTCGTCCAGTATTGTCTTTGTTGAAGGGCTGACATGTATTCTCAGTGCTTTGAATGGCATAGAAAAAGATGACGCGTGTAAAATGGCTTAAATGCGCCAAATTCTGAAGGCAAAGTGTCCTGTTAACAAAACTACTAATGTTGCGATAATCCCGATGATGAAAATCGACTACCCTACAAGATGAAGCAGAATTCCACAAAGCATGATTTTCTGATATTGTGAGTCGTTAAATACTTTACAACTGACCGATGATCTCAACCGCAGTTATAATATGAAATTCAACAATTATGCTTGAGCAATATTCCATACTCTATTAATTTTCACAAATCTTTCTGCTTCAAGGCCCATGCAAGCAGATTTGGCAACAGAATCTGAGTGAAAAATCGTTTTCTTTGCTGGCTATGACATCATTTTAATGGATAGACGTGTCTGATAGAAGGTATCGTTAATTTAAAATTCCAAAGAAATGACAAACTAAGGTTAATTTTTTCATGGTACAAGACAGGAACGATGCAAGCTCCAGCGGAAGCGTGTAGAAGATGCCACATTTCTTCCTAGGTATCCGTACATTTGTCCGTCGTATTTTTGGGTGACGTCAAATTAAAACGCCCACATGCTTTAGGATAACATTTTACGCCGTTTACTTAGCGACGGCATAAAAAAGTGGCCATGAAAACGTGCACTTCCAACTTCCATCTGACATTTTTTTAAAAAGCGTCTTGCGAATATGCTCACCTTCGCCAGACGACTCCATCCTGGATGCAGTATTAATTGTGTCACCGAAAAGACAATACCTTGGCATGGTCAGACCTATCACTCCAGCAACACAGGCGCCTACGGAGAATAGGGTGAAAGTAATAACCAAATTTTCAACGGAAGTAATGCTTTTGCACAACATAAATTAACTGCTAAAAGTGGATTATTTGGCCGTGGCCTTTTGAGCTGCTACGATAGCATTAAAAAACCATATGAAGATGCCAAAAACTGGTTTAAAATGTGTCTGCACATAAAAAGGAAATTTAGCTTGTCTGAGCGAATAAAATGACTCAGTTCGGGCGGCCGCATGTGGAGTTAGAGAGGGAAAGGATTTTTCAGGAGAGTTTAAACACTTTAATGACGTCCAGTACCTTGGAGAAAAATCACATTTTTGCATCCCTCTGTTCAACCATCGTAAACTAAGGACTCAAGTTGCTGATATAATTTTGCGGGCGCCTGAATACATGCTGTTGTTCGTCGAGTTCTGTATTCAGTAGAATACTGGCGGAATAGTCTACATTAAGGTCTGACGTAATTTGGATATGTAAGCTAAATTTTTGTTTCTTTCCAGTTCAATCCGATTAGGTGTTAAAGCCTTTTGCATGTAACTTTAAAGATATATTTTTTAGAAGTTATTCAGTACAGATTCACAAATTAAAGTCTGTACAGGATCAAATTGTTTGATTGTGGCGTGTTTTTGACCAAATGCATTTAAACCGAATGGCGGATATGACAGAAAAAGCCAGTTACGGAATCAGCAGAATACGCCATAATCCGTAACGGGATCATCCTTCGCGAGAAATATATAGTGCGTATTTAGACATGGTGCTATTAAATTGGCGTTTTAAAAATACGATTTCCTGCTTTTTCTTACAGCTCATCCTGTAAAACTAATCGATGATCGTGAAGGGATTCATGGTTATACTTTTGAAATACACAACATAATTCGAGTTCTAAAAATCGGCATGAGCAGGACATACAAAAACAAAAGTAGATTGATTGACACACCGTTCAGTGTCCAGGACCTTTACACAAAAGCGATGCGACAAAGGACATCTGAATGCTAATAATTTCCAAAACTGTTTTGGGTCATCTAGGCCTATGTCTACCAGGGATTCGATTTCGTGATTTCGCTAAGTATACTTGAGCACCAAGCTCAATGCCAGTTACCAGAGTGTATTCCAATGCGGAGCAAAATGGGAATCTGTGGCATGTGTGGAATGACAAATGTTCCAACCACACTGAGTAGCTCCAGAGCCATTGTGGCGATTTCACCAGCGTGCCGCCTGCCGTTTCTGATAGGTAACCCCGAGGCCACCATGTACGCATCACCTATGGTTTCAACCTGAAATGAAAAAACAATGCTGAAGCAGCATATCCCAGACGAGAAAGACAAGGTCATATTCTGGAACCATCTCTTAAAAATACTTTCTATTAGCCAGTCTATTTTCTCCCTTTCTATATAATTTCTAAGGACTTCTACAGTGATCAACAAACCTTAGTGTAGGGACCTTTGACTGATCTTTTGAAAATTGAGGTTAACTGCAATCTGCAAACATAGTTCTACTTGCAAAAATGAAGGGAACTAATACAGACAGCCGTTCTCTATGGTAACTTTCACTCAAGGTACCTTGTAGACGTCGAATTTCGCAATTGTTGTGTCGAAGGTGGAATAGAGCGCATTGAGTAGATCAACGATTTGCAGAGGTGTGGACCAGGCAGAAATAGCTGTGAAGCCAACGATGTCACTGAAGTAGATGGTGACCTCGTCGAAGGCTTCCGGGGCCACGGTGTTGCCAGCTATCAGCGCCTGTGCAACAGATCTGTGGCAATGCAAATAAGGTCTATTTCAAATGTTTGCGAAAGAAAAAAAGTGGATAACGAGAACCCAATGGCCGGCAGCTAATCTCCGGCCTTAAAATGAAGGTAATACGGGGACATTGATTACACTCACAAATTAGGATACGCTTCTCTGCCTTGCTATCGATGCTACTGTGCCATCCGGGGGGAATATAGTAGTGCCTAATGTTCAGCATTATTTTTAGTTTTGTGTGACGAATTTCGATCCTGTACTGCTTCATTATTTGGCAAGAGTAGGCCTTTCAAAATAAAATTACTCCGAAGACTTCTCTTAAATTTAAACGAATGGCCGCTGAGAAGTGGGAGTTTGTTTAGTATTTTGTAAAGTAGTAGGCACTGTTGGGGGATTTTCAAAGCCTGCAAGGTATGATAGGAGCCGTACAAGAACCAATAATGGTTTACTTAAATTACTGTCTCTGTAACAAATTTCTTTGCGTTTATCGGACGAAACAGTTTATGGTTACTTTCACCATTCCTTAATTCAGCTTGATTTATCCTACGGAAAACCACAGATACCAGCTAAACCCCAGACACCTGTTTCTTCAGTATTTTGCCGCTGCATGACACAGCTGCAAGGGGTGCGTCGAAGCACGTTTGTAAACTAGTGAATGACTGCTAGTAGCTTATGAATATTACCCGGTCATCCCGGTGTAGCTGACTGAGTTCGTCTCAAACAATCGTCGCAACTTTCAAAATGAGCCCATAAGACTTTACTCCGACTGATTAAATCCAAGATAACTATTGCGTTCTGAGGAGATTAAGAAGCTGAATGCTCATTAATCCAGTCCAACCTACAGAGGTAGAACAAAAAAAACGATATATCTGTCAAAGATCTTGGATTCACATTCTGACCACTGTATCGGGTGATATGTAAAAGTATTGGGGCGTCTCTGGTGTGCGGTTTCAGTCCTTCTAAGTGTGAAAACTTTGTTTTTGCATATCCATCAGCGTCTTTTCATATGCGACGTTTGATTCCATTTTATCTTAGTGACTTTATCATCAACCTGCAGTAGATGAGAGGTAATGATTCATTCAGGTAGGCATAAGGCAAAACATTTTCGTTATGCGATCAAAACTTTGCCCTTGATGCCATAAAATTACTTTGTAGTAAACTCACAGTGGCAACATTCTTGCAATCAGTTCTTCTGTTTTTGCTTTCTCCGCCTCAAGTTCCAGCGTTCGCTCTCTCACTTGAGCTTCCAAATCTGCCGAGTATTTTTCCATCATATTCAGCATATGGTCAATGATGTTGGCCTTTCTACAAATAAGATGAAATATTAACGCAAACCTACTTATTGCACTAAAAGGAAGCTCAGTGTTACATGGATGGGTCTTGCTTCTGCGTACAAACAAGCGATGGGCAATTACTTCTCGGCGTTATGGAAGTTCAGTTTAATTAGGGAAAGTAACAGGCTGTGTAGATTCATTGTACAAATTCAACAGTTTTACACGTTTTATTTTTTCTACGAACGGATTAAGAACGCCACATCTGGCAAATGAAGGCGTCAATTGGTCCACTTACCAAATGCACATTACACGGACAGTCCAGAAAGTTGAGTTACTCAAAGGTTGGCATTGCGTATACATACAGTCTCGCATACTGCCCTGGGGATTTCAAACCTGATAGATGAGACTACTTTGGAGTCCAACCCAAATGCAATTCTCAATTGCTAAAGCGATATCAGGTTAGTTTTGACGCTTAAATCATTAAACACTGTCTAATTACCTATCCGATGTCATCTCTTTCATAGGACTATTTGCTGAAAAGTACTGGAAGGCCTGAGAGCGGAACTCACTTTCCACTGCCACACTGTTCCAGTTGTAGGATAATTTCCTGGAATGTTGGACGGAAATCCGGGTTTTCTGTCCAGCAAGATCGCATTAGATCCTTGTAAAAATATGGGATCTCTGAAATGTTGACCTTAAAACCAAAACAAATGTTTGCTGGATTACTTCCTGGCCAGTCATAAACCATGTGTTTTTTAAAATGTTCGCCTATATCACCGGTGGAATGCACAGCAACCTCGAAATAATAGAACTACAGACGGCACTGATTATAAAGTGCGTTATATGCGTATTGTCCCCCGATCACCCCACCGTGTCTGTGCGCATAGACATGCATGCGCCCACAAGCGAGCACCGTAGAAACAAGGTCGGTTGTCTTTCTTGTGAGCGCTCCTGCAACCAAACCAACTCATACCGTCCCAAGGACCCTGAATGAAAAAACCGCCAGCATCCGTCCCGTCCACCGTCCGTCGTACTGTCACCTGTGACAGGGGTTCAGTCTCGTGTAGAGTTGAAGGTCCTCCTTCTTGTCTTTCGAAATATTGTTACTTACGACTTCACCTGATGCTTGCATTGACAGTGACGCTCTGATTAGCTTATCCAGGACATATGTAAAGACTGAACAAAAAGAAGCAAACCGCCGCTTCCTTATTATGTCCGACTACTGCTTTTTCATGTTAGTTTTCGCGTCATAGCTTTTTTGCCTTCTAGTTTGTGTTTCGGTTATTGGAATTTGTAGACATCAACTGAAAAGTTACAACTACCCCAAGGGCAGCAGTTGTAGTGTTATGTCCAACCACTGCAATGCGAGGGTGTCCCTCAATTCCATGTAACCGGTTTTCCTGAATCCCATTACTATTAGCGGAAAAACGATATTATTTGTGAGTTAAGTCTATAGCTTACAAGAATGGAATTCAACTGAGTAAGTCGCTGTAAAGAGCCTGATACAGACAGGTTACACTCAAATAAACAAAACTATGAATTTGACTAGGGATGACAATTCCTATCTGCTCTATCCTACGGGTTAGGTGCTATAATTGACTAGTCCAAAACGATGTATTTAAGATATAAATAATGGTGCCTTTACCCACAACTTCTACGAACGACCGTTTCGAGTACCCTCGCGTAGTAGGAAAACCTGCCGAGTCCTTCGCTGTGACAAGCAGAATACCATCAGCATCGATTGGCTCACGACTGCTGTCCCGGAGAAGCCGCCAGACCTGCTTCTAGAACAAAACTGCAGACCTCAAAGCCCTACCCATTGTGTTTCTCCCCGCCTCACCTTAGGTTCCTCCGTCACGCCCATTTCCTGCCTCACAGTGTCCACGGCATCCTCCTCCTCCTCCTCCTCCATCTTCTTCTTCTTCTTCTTCTTCTTACCCATGTGGCCCTCGGTCCGTCTAACACGCGTGAATCAACCTCCAGCTTGCAGCGCCGATCGATGTTTTCCTCTCCAGCGATTGACCGCAGCTGGGCGATGTTTGGACGCATGCCCTTCGGCCAACACTTGCCTGCTGAGAGCTCGTGCTGCAACTGCTTGCAGTGCTGCGTGTACATCATTCGGAGTCAGTAAAAGATTGTCACCTAACTGTTTCCCCTGCCTTCTGATTTGAGAACTTCCACACTGTCGACCATCGCACCTTCGGCATACAGTAGGTTGGCTAACTCATGCAATCCCAACAGAAATTCCGGAATGCGTTTTCGTTTCAAAAAGTTTGATTAAGTAGGGTTGTAAAACCAATTATCGTACAGCATAATTCTATAATAATTCAGTTGCCCCCGGACGCCAGCTTTCGAACAAACTTCTTTCCGATTGCATGTAAAAACCACACTCCGTAAAAAAATGACTACTTACGTAGCATGCATTTTTCTCATTGATTTTCGATGTCCTCCAAAATTCAATTTTATTTTATGGAAAACATGCATAAAGATATTCACTTTTCTCTTCATTCGGTATTAAATTACGTCTTCTTTCAATTTTACACTCGAAATTACAACAACCCCACAGACAGCAGGTGTATAGTTGAAGTGTAATGTCCAAACACCGCAAGGTGAGGGTCCCCCCTCAATTCTATGTAACTGATTTTCCTGTATCCGATTATTATTAGCTGAAAAACGCTATTATTTGTCCGTTGAGTCTATAGCTCACAAGAAAGGAATTCAACTAAGTAAGCCGCTATAAAGAGGCTGAAACAGAGATGTCGCACACAAACAAACAAAAATATGAACGGGACTAGGGATGGCAATTACTATCTCCTCTATACTACGGGTTAAGCACTATAAATTCATAG